AGGACATAAGACATACCCACGCCGAACGAAAGACAAAGACAGGAATATATAGGAAGTGGGAATGAGTACCAGGTGCGGGCTAATAGAGCGCGCCGCCCCGCGAGTGTGCACTGATTGCTCCACCAAGCGTGTCTGAACTGACAGGACCAAAACAACCACCACGTGCAAATGACAACGACAGCGCACAGGTGAGAAGCAGAACGGAGTCGGAGAAGGTACCGGTACTGACAGGCAGTGTGTGTACACAACCACCCTATAATGATAAAAATCCACCCAGTGTTTTTTTTTTAATCTACTAAAATCTTTACCCCTTTTTCAAATCGAGCCGATCCCAGATGCCTGTCTGTGTGACGTCACACAGACAGGCCCCTCCCACGATCAGTCCGCCACCGCCGGAGAAGGTGTAGACAAGAATGACTCCTAAGCGATTGAGGTGTTTTGTTGTTGGCAGTCGTCATTTCGTCATTTCATCTGAGCCGCTGAAGACGCAATGGATTACATTTGTTTTTGAAGGGAATGCGCCCCCGATCTACCTAAATACGTCTATGTTTGCGCGAATCGTTCATGATCCAGCTTCACCTCCAGAAGAAGTGAGTATAAGGTTTTTTAATGAATCTTTGCAAATCGCCTTTCCTAATAATGTGCTAATTAGCAAGTTTCATGATGAATGCAGCTAAAGTAAACAGTCCCTCAGAGAGCAGCTTGGAAGAGAGGGGCGGGGTCAGCAGAGCTCATTAACACTTAAAGGAAACTGCTACAAAACGGCTTGCTCTGAAAAGAGCTGTTTTTGACAGAGTAAAAAAGGTGTTTTTTACACTACCATTGAGAAATTTTAACCAAACTATGTTACAGACTTTTCATTAAGACCCTAAAGAATCATATCAACTTGTGGAAAATGGGCATCCGATGACCCCTTTAAAGTGAAGTATATATGTATGTGTGTGTGATACATTGTGTTATAATTAGATATTATATTGAACTTCGATGCTGTGTTTATCTATAGCTCTCTATTATTTAATCATTGATTTTATTTTTCTTGCTGTGTTCTTCTTTCACTTTCTTTTCATCTGTCTTTTCTCTTTGTCCTTGCAGGCCTTTAGCAGGGCACATCGTATCGGGCAAAATAAAAAGGTGATGATCTATCGCTTTGTAACTCGGGCATCCGTAGAGGAGCGTATTACCCAGGTAGCCAAGCGAAAGATGATGTTAACCCATCTGGTGGTGCGTCCCGGCTTGGGCTCTAAGACGGGCTCCATGTCCAAACAGGAACTAGACGACATCCTCAAGTTTGGCACTGAGGAGCTTTTTAAAGATGACGTGGAAGCTGCCAAAGCGATGGGTGAGCTGAAGTGGTTTAAGATAAAGATTTAGACACTTTGTGGATTCCAGTAGTTCATGTCCTAAATCTCTTCAGCAGGAGATAATAAAGAAGGAGATGAGGGCAGTGTGATCCACTACGATGATAACGCCATTTCCAAACTGCTGGACCGTAGCCAGGATGCCACCGAAGACACAGAGATCCAGAACATGAACGAGTACCACACTACCATTGAGAAATTTTAACCAAACTATGTTACAGACTTTTCATTAAGACCCTAAAGAATCATATCAACTTGTGGAAAATGGGCATCCGATGACCCCTTTAAAGTGAAGTATATATGTATGTGTGTGTGATACATTGTGTTATAATTAGATATTATATTGAACTTCGATGCTGTGTTTATCTATAGCTCTCTATTATTTAATCATTGATTTTATTTTTCTTGCTGTGTTCTTCTTTCACTTTCTTTTCATCTGTCTTTTCTCTTTGTCCTTGCAGGCCTTTAGCAGGGCACATCGTATCGGGCAAAATAAAAAGGTGATGATCTATCGCTTTGTAACTCGGGCATCCGTAGAGGAGCGTATTACCCAGGTAGCCAAGCGAAAGATGATGTTAACCCATCTGGTGGTGCGTCCCGGCTTGGGCTCTAAGACGGGCTCCATGTCCAAACAGGAACTAGACGACATCCTCAAGTTTGGCACTGAGGAGCTTTTTAAAGATGACGTGGAAGCTGCCAAAGCGATGGGTGAGCTGAAGTGGTTTAAGATAAAGATTTAGACACTTTGTGGATTCCAGTAGTTCATGTCCTAAATCTCTTCAGCAGGAGATAATAAAGAAGGAGATGAGGGCAGTGTGATCCACTACGATGATAACGCCATTTCCAAACTGCTGGACCGTAGCCAGGATGCCACCGAAGACACAGAGATCCAGAACATGAACGAGTACCTGAGCTCATTCAAGGTGGCTCAGTATGTTGTGAGAGAGGAGGACGGAGAGGTGAGATACAGATGCTTTACTGTCTGTTCCTCATGCCTCATGCCAAAGATGAATGCTAGTCAATCCTTTCAAAATGAATACCTTAGACTACATTTTCTTTCACTCTTCTATGCTCAAGAAGGCATAGCCGTGCAAGTTTCAGCTTTTTTACAAAAGCTTCTTGGACTGTTGTTTTGGAGTTAGTATTGTGTTTAGGGGCAGCAGCAATATGGCTTTGTTCAGGCAGGCAATCAGATTGTAGTCTGAAAAGACAAAAAAGCTTCCGATGCAATGTTTAACCCGTTTTATTTTTTTCTTTAAAATTTGACCTGATGCATACACTACCATTCAAAAGTTTGGGGTCTGTAAAATTTTTTCGAAAGACATTAATGCTATGTAAGGATGCATTAGATTGATCAAAATTGTCAGTAAATATATTTATAATGTTGTAGAAGATTTATATTTAAACTTTCTGTTCATAAAGTATGCTTGAAAAAATATACCACATTAAGCAGCACAACTGTTTTCAACTTTGATTATAAGAAGAAATGTTTCTTGTGCAGCAAATCATCATATAAGAATAATTTCTGAAGGATCAAGTGAGACTGGAGTAATGATGCTGAAAATTTCACTTTGCCATCACAGGAATAAATTACATTTTATAATATATAAAAATCTTAAGTTGTAATAATATTTCACAATTTTACTGTATTTTGTGTATTTTATCAAATAAATATAACCTATAATTTCAAAAACATTTAAAAATCGTATTGACCCAAACTTTTCAGCGGTATATAATGTCACACAAAGTACACAACATTTGGAGCTGTGTTCGAATGTGCTCATTTTCACTCTCTTTTTCTTTTTTTGTGACATTCACTAGTGAATGCTGAGTGAGTGTCAGTGGTTTTGGACATGAATGTGTAAAATGTCGCTTGTTCTCTTATGCGCCTGAAGGGAGATGTCATTATAGACATGGGCAAAAGCAAAATTTCCAGTTTTCCATCCTCATTTCACACTGAAAGCGACTTTCGGTATGAGAAAATCTGCTGGGATTGTGCTGGTGCTAACATCCTTACTATAGAAACCCATGTAGATGCACAGCTGTCAGAACAAACTGATCAGATTTTAGCAATGGCAGAATGACAGACAGTAAGTCCAAAAGGTCAAATTTTGTGAATTTGTGTGAATTTGTATAGAGCATAGTATGCTTTGAAGTACCTTGGAGTACCATGGTATATGCATATTGTAATCATTCAGTATAATATCATTGTACTGTTAATCATCTGATACCATCACTGTACCATTGCACCACCACAGTCCTTTTTGTAAGTCTGTGTTGGAACAAAACCCTACATTATGAAGGAAAAGTTTCATCCAACTTCATAAAGGGACTAAATAATTACAAAAAAGTAATTATATTATGTCATATACAAATCCCAGATGTTAAAGAATTATTGTTAGTATACAATAAATATAATTAGATTAATTAAAGTCAATAATAGGCCCGTGATATATGATCTGCATTTGTGTGTGTGTGTGTGTGTGTGTGTGTTCTTGCAGGAAGAGGTCCAGAGGGAGATTATTAAGCAGGAAGAGAATGTTGATCCAGACTACTGGGAGAAGCTCTTGAGGCACCATTACGAGCAGCAGCAGGAGAATTTAGCCCGGAACCTGGGCAAAGGGAAACGCATCCGCAAACAGGTCAACTATAATGACGCCTCTCAGGAGGACCAAGGTACCCAAACACAGATGCTGACTGTGCTATAACGCAGCATAAAGCTGTGCATATGAGTTTACAAACAATTCATCTCAATCCTGTTCTCAGAGTGGCACGATGATCTTTCAGATAATCAATCTGAGTACTCCGTCGGGTCCGAGGATGAGGATGAAGATTTTGAGGAACGTCCTGAAGGTAGGCATCATCATATATGTATAAACACACACGCACTCTTAATGTTTAAAACTTTGGGGTCAGTATGATTTTTATTCTCTGAAAGAAATATAAACTTATATTCAGCAAGAATGCATTAAATTTATAATGTTATAAAATATATCAATTTAAAAATAAATGTTTCTTGAGCAATAAATCAGCAATATTAGAATGATTTCTGAAGGATCATGTGACACTGAAGACTGGAGTAATGACTAAAACTAAAATGGACCACAGTTATTTTCAATTTATTTCACGTAATATTGTACATTTTTATGAAATAAGAGTAGCCTTGATGAGCATAAGATACTTCTTTCAAAAACATAAAATTTTTTTACTGACTTTCATCGCACTTGGTACGCACCTCCAGGAGGACGCAGACAATCTCGCAGACAGTTGAAGAGCGATCGGGACAAACCATTGCCACCGCTGCTGGCTAGAGTTAGTGGAAGCATAGAGGTAAATCTTCTTACAATATTGTGAAAAGAGAGAGTTTGTGCGTAATTCCTTGCTTCAGGTGAAGCTTTGGCTATTTACCTTTGGGATTTCAGGTTTTGGGATTTAACGCCCGGCAGCGGAAAGCCTTCCTGAATGCGATTATGCGCTGGGGTATGCCCCCACAAGATGCCTTCAACTCTCACTGGCTGGTCCGTGACCTGAGAGGGAAAAGTGAGAAGGAGTTCAGGTATGTGTGTGTTTCTCTGTTATAGTTTGTGTATATATATATATACAAATAATTATTGAACACGTCACCATTTTTCTCAGTAAATATATTTCTAAAGGTGCTGTTGACATGACATTTTCACCAGATGTCGGTAACAACACAAGTAATCCATACATATAAAGAAAACAAATAAGTTCAGAAATTAAGTTCTGTGTAATTAAATGGAATGACCCAGGGAAAAAGTATTGAACACGCTTACTGAAATGTATTTATTACTTTGTACAAAAGCCTTTGTTGTTAATGACAGCTTCAAGACGCCTCCTGTATGGAGAAACTAGTCACATGCATTGCTCAGGTGTGATTTTGGCCCATTCTTCCACACAAACAGTCTTCAAATCTTGAAGGTTCTGTGGGCCTCTTCTATGAGCTCTGATCTGTAGTTCTTTCCATAGATTTTCTATTGGATTCAAGTCAGGTGACTGGCTGGGCCATTCTAGCAGCTTTACTTTCTTTCTCTGAAACCAATTGAGAGTTTCATTGGCTGTGTGTTTGGGATCATTGTCTCGCTAAAATGTCCACCCTTGTTTCATCTTCATCATCCTGGTAGATGGCAGCAGATTTTTATCAAGAATGTCTCAGTACATTTTTCCATTCATCCTTCCTTCAATTATATGAATTTTTCCAGTGCCACACCATGATGTTTTGGGGTGATGTGCAGTGCCATTTGACCTCCGAACATGGTGTGTATTATAGCATCCAAAGAGTACAATTTTGGTTTCATCTGACCAGACTATATTCTCCCAGTATTTCACAGACTTGTCTAAATGTGGTGCAGCAAACTTTAAACAAGCTTCATCATGCTTTTTCTTCAGCAATATAGCCTTGTGTGGTGAGGGTGCATACAGGCCACGGCGGTTGAGTGCATTACTTATTGTTTTCTTTGAAACAATTGTACCTGCTAATTCCAGGTCTTTCTAAAGATCTCAGAAAACTCTTCTGGTATTTTTTTTCACTGCTCTTGTCAGCACCTGGTCGTGGCCAGTTTATGGTGAAATTATGTTCATTCCACTTCCAGATTATGGCCCCAACAGTGCTCACTGGAACATTCAGAAGTATAGAAATGACATTTGCAGATGGAGTCCCAAGGGAAGGCCTATCCCGCCAACATGTTCTCACCCGGATTGGTGTCATGTCTCTGGTCCGCAAGAAGGTGTTGAACTACTTACTGCATTTTATGTGCACTGGTTTTTAACTTGATGGATATAAATATCTAATTTGAAGTTTATGTACTTTAACATTCTATGGCATTGTGTTGCGCTCGTTCAGCGGCCTCGTTTCGCTTCGACGGCTTTCAGCCTCACCCTGCTTCATTCTACTACGTTAATAAATCATTAGCTCATCCATAAACAAGATTTCTGCCCGAGTCCCGTCGGATTGCATCGGCTGTGGGGATGAAGACGACAACTCCCATGATTCCACACTCAGTCACGGCGTCATCAAACTACGCCTTTGTCTATTTGTTTATTTTGAATGCGCGCCCTCTAGCGGCAAAGATTACATATTGTGCCTTTAATTGAGCATTTGAACTTATTTTGTATAAAATAATCTATATAAAATAATAAAATAGCAGCTTAAATTTGACACAAAACACTTTGAATGTGTGTATAGGTTCAGGAGTTTGAGCATGTGAATGGGAAGTTTAGTACACCAGATTTGATTCCTGTGGGATTGGAGCTGAAAAAACTTACTGAAAGTGTCTCATCGGACCCCAATACGCCTGTTCCTGCCAGTCCGGTTCCGACTCAACCCAGCACACCTGTTCCTTCAGGTGTGTGAAAGTGTGCACTGGTTTGGGTGGTTTATGAGGACACAAATTTGTATAATGACATGGGTATGACAGAGGTATTACAATGTGAAGGTGGGTTAAGAGGACACTGCCCAGTACTGTAATTCAAAAGGCTTAGAAAACATACTAAAAGGGTTTTTTTTTGTTGTTGTTGAAAATCAAAAAATGCACAAAGTTTTCTGTAAAGGGTAGGTTCAGGTGTATGGTTGGTGTAGGGTGATAGAAAATACAGTTTGTACAGTATAACAACCATTATGCCTATGCAGAGTCCCGTAAACCACCAATACCAACGTGTGTTGTGTGTGTGTGTGTGCGTGCGTGCGTGCGTGCCTCCCATCCAATAAATCACAGTAATCTTTGTGTTTTGTTACTTTTTATATAAAACAAAGTCTCAGATTTCAAATTCTGTCATTTTGTTTTACAATGTTCAAACAATAAAATCTGTCACTCAATCAGTGTTTCAACCACGGAAAGAAGTCAATATAACAGCTTGTAAACAACAGAATGTCACGTAACGTCACATTTACTTCATTTTACTGAATATATGCACCATATGACATATTCATTATCATTTTTACTATTTTTTAATATTTACTGAATACATTTGTCAAGTTTTTATGACAGCCACCATTTAAATGTTTATATTTCAAAAAACGAATTGAAGAAATATAATTATGTAATTGTAAAGTTAGTATTACAACCTGACTCATGTATTACAACCTGACTCGTTAGTTTTTTTTTTCCCTTGAGAAAATTTGCTATATATTGTACCTGATATATATCCAAAATAATTGATATCGAATCAGATCGAAATCGAATCACAAACTTGGGAATCAAAAGCAAATCGAATCATGAAATTTGTCCCAAAACCCAGCCCTAGTGTGTGTGTGTGTGTGTGTGTGTGTGTATAGGTTCACTACTCAGTGAAATGCTGGTTGTTTGTGGTTAACTAGACAGTAATATTTGTTTTTACAGAAAAGACAGGGTCAGTGTCCGGTTCTCAAGAAGACAAGGAGATTACAGAACCAGAGAGTACCAAATCGCTGGACCCTGAGGTCAGACTGAAGTCATCCAAAAATATATATTTTTCTGTTTTTTATTTCTCTTGTCCTTATTAAAATCTCTATCTTCTTACAGCAGCCAGTTATGCCAGAACCCTCCACTGCACCAGAGAAAACCAATGAGGGAGAAGAACCAAAAAGCGGAAGTCCAGAAGGAAAAGGAACGGAAGAGAGCGAGAAGAATGACACCCCAATTGTCCATTCAGAGCCATCGCCGCTTAATAAACCTAGTGAGCAGTCAGCCAATCAGACACCTTTAGGTGAGGGTTCTAGACCATGCATATAATGATTCTATAAAACATTTCTCTCAATAAACAAAATATTAAAATATTTTGTTTATTCAAGACTGTGGTAAAGGGAAAGAAACTTCTCCGGAGAGAGGGGAAAATAAACCCAGCCCAGCAAAAATAGATGATAAGGAGCAAAAACCAGGTCAGTATTTGTGGTATTTGTTCATTATACTTCCAGAAACAGAATGGTCGAGATTCCAGATACATTTTATCTTCAAATTGGCACCTTAAAAAACTAATTTTCTACTAAATGGGTACAAAACTGGGCCTAAACCTTTTTTTTTTCAACAAATGTGAATTTCAGTCAAAGGAGGTGCTCAAATTTCAGAAAATGTTGTTTGTTAAATGTTTTGTTTTATTCATTTTCTGTGCATGTTTAACGCACAGAACCCCTGTTATCAAAGAATGTCTAAGTTTAGATGATTTTTTGTCATTTTTGTATTTTTATAGCATTAAAACATCCACATTTATTAGACAACATTTAGAAAAAATATATTAATTTGATAAATGATCAAATAAAAATATAAAATAACGTTTTTTTAGATAAATGTATTGTTCCCATTAATGAAAGCTTGACACGTTGTCAATGCTAAAATTTGTGTACAGATAGGAATGAGATTTCTATGTCAGTTTAATAATAAAAAGAAATAAACCTTAAGGCTTAAAAAAAATTAACTGAACACCAATGTGTACCCTATTCATGGAAAGTAGAGTACCAACCTCTCTGCTTTGTCAAACTCTGTAGTTTCTGCAGCCATTCCTGATGATTTAAAATCTGAAGACCCCCCTGAGAACCAACTGAATGGAGAGAAAGACACGAGGGACGACGTGGATGAGAGCCACAGAGATGACAAGAACAGCATCAAGACTCGTTTCATGTTTAACATCGCAGATGGAGGATTCACAGGTGAGTTGTAGTCTTATTGACGTTGTTCTGATTTGTTGTCTCGCTTCAACGGGCGTCAACACATTGGTCACGTATTGTATCATGGACAGCAGATTAAAAACTCTGGTGAATGATAGGAGAGATAAAGAATGCATGGATGTGCATGAGTGTTTATGTGTGTTCAGAATTACACACGCTATGGCAGAACGAGGAACGCGCAGCTGTGTCATCTGGCAAAATGTACGACATCTGGCACCGTCGCCATGACTACTGGCTGCTAGCTGGCATCGTAACGTATCCTCACTGTTCCTTCCATTGCGCATTTGAGCTGTCTTATTATTCCTTTAATAATCAAAGATTTTTAAAGACTTTTCTTTTCTTTTGATTTCTTTTTTTTCTTTAGGACTTTTATGAAGTTGTGAACATAAATGATTGTGATGTGCCTGTTTGAATAAATAGAATGGAGAATTACAAGGAGACCAAAAATTTCAATTGATTATGAAGTGATTATTTGATGAATAGAAGGTTCTAAAGAACAGCATTTATTTGAAATAGAAATATTTTGTAACATTATAAATGTCTTTACTTTTTTGATCAACTCAATGCATGAATAAAAGTGAATAAAAGTATTCATTTTTTATTCTAAAAAAATAATTACTGACAAGATTATTACAATTAATGGCAAAATGAATGTCTGGAAATGTAAACTGATATTTCCAACTGACACACTACAGCAAAAGATAGAAATAACTGACTTTAAACCATTTTTTAGCTGATGAAAATGCTGGTGTTCTAATCATTTTGGCCACCATTGTATATATATTCAAAAATAGTTCACCCAACTTATTCAACATTTAAAGTGCTGTTTTCCAGTACAAGATATTTGCCACTTCAGGTTGTGTGCTTCATTGTAATATTGAGTAAAGCATTTTCAGTATATGAAGCAAATCTTTAACCAGGTGCTCTCAGACATGGCTATGCCCGCTGGCAGGACATTCAGAACGACCCACGGTACACCATCCTCAATGAGCCTTTCAAGACTGAAATGCACAAAGGGAACTACTTAGAAATGAAGAATAAATTTCTTGCCAGACGTTTTAAGGTACACGTTATTGTGTGTTTTATTTGAATTAATTCAAAATAATATTTATATTCACACATTCTTCATTCACATTTTAGCTCCTGGAACAGGCTTTGGTAATTGAGGAGCAGCTTCGGCGCGCGGCATACCTGAATATGACTCAGGATCCCAGTCACCCCACCATGGCCCTCAACACACGTTTCACAGAGGTGGAGTGCCTGGCTGAGTCCCATCAGCACCTCTCCAAAGAGTCACTGGCTGGTAACAAGCCAGCCAATGCTGTGCTGCACAAAGGTCATTTTCTAAAAATATAATAAACACCCTGATGCTTGGAACTGCCCCATGTTGCTTGCTGTTAATAACTATAGCTTTATCAACCAAACATAAACTAAATGTACATTACTGTTCAAACGATTTGTTAATTCTCTTATGCTCTCCAAGGCTGGATTTATTTGATCAAAAGTACAGTAAAAACAACAATAGAGTGAAATAGTAATACAGTTTTTTTTAAACTGTTTCTATCATAATATATTTTAAAATGTAATTAATTCCTGTGATGGCAAAGCTGAATTATTAGCAGCCTTTATTCAGTCTTCAGTGTCACATGAGCCTTCATCATTTTAATATTCTGATTTGCTGCTGAAGAAACATTTATTATTATTATCAATATTATTATGTTGTGCATGCATTAATGTGATGCATTTTTTCCAGGATACTTTTAAAAAAGAAAGTTTAAAAGAACATTTATTTGAAATAGAGATATTTTGTAATATTATAAATATCTTTACTACCTATTTGATCAATTTAATGCATCCATGCTAAGTAAAATTATTCATGTTTAAAAAAAAAAAACAGTTGCTGATTAATAGTTTTGTGAAAGCTTAGTTTTTTGGGGGATTCTTTGATTAATTGAAATAAATAAATGTCTTTACTGTCACTTTTAATCAATTTAATGGATCCTAGCTGAATACTTTTAGTAATAATGAATACTTTAAGGGCAAAGTGAATATTAATTTCTTTCAAAACAAAACAACCTTTTTTCTTTGATGTTCACTGGTGTTGTTTCAGTGTTGAATCAGCTGGAAGAGCTGTTAAGCGATATGAAGGCTGATGTGACGCGGTTGCCCTCCATGCTTTCGCGGGTCCCACCCGTGTCCGCCCGGCTCCAGATGTCAGAGCGGGGCATCCTCAGCAGACTCACCAGCCGGGGCAACGAGCCGCCACCTCAGCAGGTCAGCGTGACACGTCTTTTGCCATATGTGTAATCCATATAAGATGAATAATAGATGGGCCTCATGTGGATGAACCTTCATATAAGAATGTTCTGTTTCATCTCCCCTCAGCCTTTCCTTCAGGGCTCTTTCGGCTGTTCTCAGATGTATAATAGCGGTTTCGCCGGAGGGTTCCGTGGACCTGGAGGCACTACGATGGTGAACTACAGCCAGATGCCCCTGGGGCCGTACGTCAGCGGTTAGTGGCCTACATTAGCTTTGAAATGAAGAGCGCATATAATCAAAAACCTAGTGGTCTGGTTAAAGGAACAGTTCACCCAAAAATGAACAATTTGTCATAATTTAAGGCCTGTTCTCACCAAGACAATAACTATAAAGATAACTGTAGCAATAACTGTATCAACGTCCACACCAAAGCACGATATAATGCAGTATGTGCATATTATTCCGGTATGTGCATTTGAAAAATTACTAGCCAGTGCTCTTACCTCAACCTATAAATGTTTTAACTGAGTTTTTTGTTTTTTATATATACATATATGTTTTATGTACTGTAATGTATGTTTGTTGTATGTTTCTCAGGAGATATTAATTCTCCTCTCAGGCTGTAATTGAAAATAAGAACTTAATTGACTTGCCTGGTTAAATAAAGGTTAAATAAATAAAATAAAATAAACAATTACATTCTGTTTATTATATGTATGTATGTGTCGTTTTTGTTATAGTAGTTGCATGGACTCTGCTATTCTTTTACATTTAGAATGTAAATCAAAATATTAATACAATGACAAGCACATGACGAAATTACTAAAATTAAAATATCAAGACAAAAGCTAAATCGAAATATTAATACATTCTATAATAGTATACAAATAATACTAATATAACACTGTGGGCACGCAGTCTGAGAATAAGATTTAGCTGACTGAGCTAAATACTACAGCGAGAATAAAAGTTACGCCTTCTTTCTTTGTGTAAACATTTGGGCGGTGTTATGCAAATCTTCCCACATCGTGATGTAGACTTGTGGGGGCGTGTTAGAACGAGACGTTTTAGGTAGGCGTGGTTGACTCTTAACTTTTATAAAGAATATCTCTTTGGATTTGAGACTTTAGTCTTTGCAACTTTACAGATCTTCTTTATGCACTAAGAGCTTGTAACACTCCAAAGGGAAAGGAAAAATTTAAATAGCATCATATGACCCCTTTAAATAGATTTAATATATAGAAATATCATGCTTCTGTTTTCTTCTTCTTAGTGTCCTCAAACGGACCTCCGACCCCAACCAGCCACCTAGAGAAGAAGTCCAGTGATGCTCTGCGAGATGTGGCCACACCTGATTTGAAATCAGGCAAACCTAGCGATGTTATATGCATTGAGGACTAGCACGCAGCCATTCCGTACTCTTTCTGTACAATACCTATGGACAAAACTGTGGAGAACTCCTCCAAACTATGAATATTAAACGGCAAACCTTATCAGTTGTACTTTCGTCTTTCAGAATCTGAATGTTTTAATAAATCATCTCCAATAAATTTGCCAATGTTTGCTTCTAATTTGAATGTAAAATCCTGTGGGGAACTAATTAATGAAAACTTAAGTCATGTTTTTGCATCGTGTGTGTGGGTCTGACAGGTCTTAGAAAAGGGGGCACTGTAGTGTCAGACTCACCATCTTAATGCAAGTAATAGATGTTTGTGGTGTTTTATTTGATAGTGGAAATTACATTGAAAACTTAATCCATATATAGTTTGTAGACCACAATCGAGTCTACTGCACATTTAAATTGATAAAGCCAGTGAAGACCAAAACCACATTTTGTGTTATTTTGAAAAAAAAAAAAGCTATGAATTCACTTGCTGCAAATGCCTCACACCTGAAGACAAACTTTTGCTTTGAGTAGGTATTCACTTGTTGCAAATGCCTCACACCTGAAGACAAACTTTTGCTTTGAGTAGGTTGGGAAAGCAGTGGTTTTGGATCCTGAAAGCCATGTTGAAGAGACAGCAACAAAGTCTCAAAGCCAGAAGGAATAAACACATTACTGGCTTGCTCCTGGGGCTGGGAATCAAGACTGAAGAGAGACTGGAAACTTGACACTTCTGGCATAGAGAGCTGAAACCCAGTGTGGGCCAGCTGAGATGTGGGTTTATAAATTGGTGCCTGAAACCTGGAGTGCACTGACTGGTAGCTGGCTTGTGCGGATTGCAAACCACTTGGCTGGGACACAGACTGATGATGGACTTTAGCTGACTGGTAGCTGCCGTGTGCTGACTGCAGGCCACTTGGTTGTAACACAGTCTGGTAATGAGCCTGTCCTGGTTGTTCAATGCTGGGCTGGTACTCAGACTGGTAGCGAGGTTGTGCTAACTGCAGGCTACTGGGCTGGAACACAGATTGGTAATGAGCTTTAGCTGACTGGTAGCCGGCTTGTACTGACTGCAGGCCGCTGGTTTGTTAATGGAGCCTGGTAAAGAGCTTTTCCTGGTTGTCCACTAGGCTGGGACACATCCTGGTACCTGGTTTGTGCTGACAATGGGCTACTGGGCTGGGAAAGAAGACTGGTAGCTGGCTTGTGCTGACTGTAGGCTGCCAGATTGTCATGGAGCCTGGTAACAAGCCTGTCCTTGTTGTACACTATGCTGGGGCACAGACTGGTAATGGGCTTGGGCTGGTCGTTGAACATTGGGCTTGAAAAGAAATGTCTCAGGTTACGTATGTAACCCTGGCTCCTCGAGGGAACGAGAC